GCCTGGCCTATGGAGGCAGTAGGGATCTATGTGTTGGAAATGGGGAGTGCAGAGTTCTAGGCCTCCTGCCAGGAAGACATTCTGGGTGGTGGTGAAGCCAGGAGGTGTCCTGCTGTCATCTTTTGGGACACAGTGGTTGCAGTTGAGGAAAGTTGGTTGAAGAGTTGAAGGGAGGAGTTTTGGGAAGGTTGCTAAGCGACCAAGAGCTCCTGGCAGCCCCTAGGCTGGGTCTGTTGGGGGAGGCTGGCCAGGATTTCTTGGCCAAATACAGGCCAACCTGGGTTTGTTCCTGTCCTCTTCCTTCTGCCATGGAGCTCTGAAATGGGTTTTCACAGGCCCATCTTGAGCAGAGAGAGTTTGAGCAGTTGCTGAGGACTAAGGAAAACATTCAGCCTTTGGATCCTGAGTTTTTAGACTTACACCTCTAGGGCAGTGGCTTTCCAACTTTTTTTTTTTTTTAATCATGCCTTGCAGTAAAAAGTACATCTTATGCTACATACCTGTATATGAATGAAAAGTTTCACAAAGCAGTGTTACCCACCTCATTAGTGAGATACGTTTTGATAATTCTTATTATGATTCATTAGAAAAAAGGCTGACTGAAATCCACCCAATTGATTTATGGATCTACACCTGGCAGTTTGAAAAATGCTATTCTGAGACACATTCCTTTGGTTAGTCAGTGTCCCCAAATTGTAAGCTTCTAGGGAATCATTCCAAAAGATGTGTTTCTTGGGCAGGGATAGGGTAACAGGTATAATTGCTTCAGTTGGGTAGATGTCTGTAACAAGTAGCATATTTGACTCGTTTTCTGAAATGCTATAATCTTAATTCTTGAAATATTAATGTTGCCCAATCATTGGAGTGATGAAATTGTGTGTGTGTCTTAATTTTCTCTATCCTTTGTTGTGTCTGAGAAATTCGAGAGGCTTAGCTCCATTAAGCCACTTTATATCATAGTTAAGACAATTTCATTTTCTTGTTCCAGTGTTGTAAAGATACACTTATTTGCTTTTCTGCCATTTAAAAACATCTCAGACTCTTCTTTTCCAGTAATTACATGGTGTGCTTTTTGCTATAGTTATAAAAGTGTGAAGTTCATGGCTTCCTAATGTATTCTAAACTTAACTGTGTATGAGTATAACTTTGACTCAGTTAACATCTTGATTCCCCCATGAAAATGGTGCTTCTATGTATTTATAAACTAGGTGAGGTTCTGCACAAAACAGAAGTAATTCACAATGAGCACTAATGGCTGCTGGTGGACAAAGTTAGAACTCTTCATGTGTTGCTATGTCCTTTGAAAGTTTACACACAGCCTGTTGTAGGACAGAGTGTCAAATGATGTTGCCTAACTTCAGTAAGCAAGTTTATAAGGATACCTACTTAAGACTAGTTTAATCTTGTTATTTTTTATTGAGGATGAGTATGGAATTCAAAGGCACAGTGATCAAAGAATTGCCCACATTAGACTTCATCCGTAGGGACACTTGCTTGATTATGTGCCTTGTGAAAGCATTCTGTCACCTACAAACTTTGTGTGTTGTAAAATCCATCATTAACTATTTGTTGACTGTGTTTTGGTTGCTGTGAGAAGTATGTTGACATGTACCAACCACCCTTTGAAAATTGTCCCTTTCAAGCAGGTAAATATCATTTGCCTTAAAATATTTAGCCTTAAAGAATGTTTAAAAATGATTTTCATTTGTGGTAGGTGTTTGAAACTTTAAGGAAGATCTCATTAATTTGGTTTTTTTTTTGGGGAGGTGGAGGGGATCATGTGTACCTATCAATAAACAATTGTGGCAAATTTACTCTGAGTGGTTGTCCTTTTTCTTAAGTTTTTTTCCTCTTGACCGGCAGACTAACAGAAGGCTCTTTTTCCCTTGTAATTTTTGCTTCCAATTGTTGTGGGTTTGGAAGTCAGATACTTGTATTTGTTCAAATCTTGTGTAAAATGAGATTGTGTTGCTCTGAAAAGACCTTCTCTTTTCTTCGTGTTTAAACTTTGTGATGTTATTTTGGCTACTCAGAGGCCTGTTTACTCACCTCCTGATCCTAGGCCTAGTCACTATATAAGAAAAAGTTCTAAAAAGGATCTTGAAACTGGCAGTGATACAATTTGGTTCAGTGGTGAAGAAATCATTTAGCTATTATTATGGACTCTGCTCTGCATGCAGTTAGACACTAAGATTTACGGTTCCTGCCTTTTCAGCTAGCCTTACCTGATCAGAGCAGTACTGGGACAACTGTCCCATTGTCTGTAATTCTGGTTCCACTTGGTGTTGCATGACTTCATGAGAGCCTTCTTCTGGAAAATATTGCTTGGGTGATTTCATTTGTCTCCTCAGGAACTGTTAGCTGCTTTCTCTTACCAGCACAGAGTAAAGCCCGTGCATGGCCTTGAGGTTGACATTCAGGGCCTTCTCCATCCTTCTTACCGTTTTTTCAGACATCATTCCATTCCCCAAAGCAGATCCTCTTCCTTCTGCCAAGATCTCAACGTGTATCTTCCTTTGCACATAGCAAAACATGTCTGCTTTCTTTGTGAAGGCCTGGTCCTCCTCATTTGCTTCCAGGTGACCCTTCTGTGAAATCTCACTTGCTGGTATTGTTTGTGTACCTTGTTTTTACCTGTTGTCTATCAGAAACACCTAGCAGCCAGATCCCTGATCCCACCCTAGTTTTTTTTTTTTGTTTTGTTTTTGAGGTAGGGTCTCACTAACTTCGTCTGAGCTATCTTTGTGATCCTCCAGCTTTTACTTGCTGAGTAGCTGGGATTACAGTCATCCCTACACTTTAGAATCAGAATCTCTGGTGGTGCCTGGGAACCTGCATTTAGTGATCCACCCAGGTGATTCTTCTGTATAATAAAACTTAAGAATAACTGACCTAGCATAATAATTTAAATGATACTGGGTATGCACACATGTTTTCATTTATTTACTTTTTATTTGAGACAGAGTCTCATTGTGTAGCTCAAGCTGGCCTTAAACTCACCATCTTCCTGCTTCTGCCTCTCAAGTGCTGGGATTACAAATGTGTACTACCATGCCCAGCTTCACACAACTGATTTTTTTTTTTTTGCAGTACTGGGGTTTGAACTCAGGGCCTACACCTTGAGCCACTCTGCCAGCTCTTCTTTGTGATGGTTTTTTTTGAGATAGGAGTTCATGAACTATTTCCCCTGGCTGGCTTTGAACCATGATCCTCCTGATCTCTGCCTCCTGAGTAGGTAGGATTATAGGTGTGAGCCACTGGCACCTGGCCACACGAGTGACTTTTGAGTAGATGTTTAATGAAATGAGCAATCATTTTTTGGGCAGGTTGATTTAAATTTAGGGCTCTGAAGTCAGCTTAAATTTGAATTCTGGCTCTGTCACTTTCTAGCCAAGTGACCATAACTTCACTTAGCTTCAGTTTTCTGATCTATAAAATGGTGTTAAGAGTACCTGTTGTAGGAGATTGTGAGAATTAAGTGAGGTAATGCATGTCAAAAAGCATAACACTTGACACATAGTAAATTTTCAGTAGATTTTATCTGCTGCTGACACGATGATGACTTGCATCATCACATTGTTATTGCATCGTTACAATAACGAAATATGATTGTGAGTTTAGGTTCCAATTCAGTTATTGTTAATACACAAGTTGCTTAGAGGGTTTTAAGAATTCAGATTTCTAGGGCTGGGTTAGGTAGCTCACACCTATATACCCAGCTACTTGATTGGGAGAAATGCAGTTCCAGACCAGCCTAGGCAAAAAGCGCTACCCCCATCTCAATCGGTAAGCTGGAAGTGGTGACATGTGCCTGTGATCCCAGCTACTCTATCTGAGGCCTTCCCCAGGCAAAAACTCGAGGCCCTGAAAAATAGAGCAGAAAGGGCTGGAGGAGTGGCTTAAGTGATAGAGCTCCTGCCTAGTAAGTTGGCCCTCAGTTCAAATTCTACTATCACCAAAAAAGGCAGGCTTATATTTTCCATTTTAAGTAACAGATCATGGACCGCTCGCTATTGTATTTACAGAAAAGGTGTTTTGCCTTCTTTAAAAGGATTGGTGTCAAAATAGCACGTTTAATTCCTGTCATTTCCCTACTGCTCAGTGAATAGATTGCAAACTCTCTAAACCTTAGCCTCTTACCATGTGGCCCTGCCAGTCAGTCATGTGCCTGCCTCCTCACACACCACAGCAGCTACACCATACTGTTCTGTCTTACATCTGTTACTTCACTGTGCCTGTATGTGAGCTCTCCCCCTCTTTCTCACCTAGTGAATTCCTGTTGCTCTTGTCTTTTTTTGTGACTGATCTCCTTAGTGAAGATAGTCACTTCCTCTTCTCACAGTGCTTCGTTGGCACTTATTGGTGCACTTATCGGTGGGAAAATGATTTAGCCTTGACAGATGCTTCTGGGATGTTGTCTGTATTTAGTCCATCCCTGTGGGAGGGAGAGATATTGGATATTTTTTACTCATACCAGCTCACCTGTTCATCTAGACTTCTCTACCCCAGTGTTTACAATAATAACTACAATTTATTCACCACTTAACTACATGCCAGTCACTTTCCTAGATGGTTTCATTTCCAAAACTTTATTTTCCTTAATTTTTACAATCACCCTCTGAAATAGCTATTAATAGCTAATGAGGACACAGGTACAGAGAGGTAAGTAGCTTGTGCAAAGTACCAAGCAGTCACACTGAACTCAGAACTGCAGGAAGCCATGCTCTTAAGCACAGTGCTCTTCTAAAACCTGAAGGTTTAAGCAGACGACACATTTTCAAAATGCAAGATTTTGTGACTGTGTGAAACTTTTAATTAAAAGTTCATTAATCATCTTTAGGAATGTGGTCCATCAATGCTGTTATAAACAGTATTGTTTAAAACTGTTCTTAGAATAGTGCTTTTCCAGTGATTTTTCTAAAATTTTCTTCCCAGTCTTCTATGAAATTTGATTTTTATTTCACTGGCAGAAGATACTACTTCAAAATAATTCATCTTTCTATTTATCTAACAGATGGCTTGTTGACATGTGTCGAGTACTGCTCTGTGTAACACTGAACTTTACTGACAAATCCGTGCCTTTATGGAACTCGGCTCTGGTGGAGAGAAACCTTGAACACTGAACTAACGTGACAAGAATGAAGGGGGAGGGTAAAGTGATAATGAGTGACACTGGTAATGGTGCCATTTTTGATGGGGTGGTCAAATGCAGCCTCTTGAGAAGGTAACATTTGTGTTTACATTTGAGACTCTTGCATGCTGAGATGGTGCAGTTCTGCAAAGCTCCAGGAAAGGGAGAACTTAGTTTGGCAAGTTGGAGAAGTAGAAAGCCAGGGAGTCTGAAGCCTAGTGGGTAGGAGGAGTGGAAGGAGGAAAGTTAGGGAGGTCAACAGGGATCTGATTAAATGAAGCCTTTAAAGCCTGTGGTGAAGAGATTGGATTTTATTCTAAATGGAAGAGGAAGCCACTGAAGAGTTTAAAGAATGTGATATTACTCAAACTTTGAAAAGGTCACTTGACTGCTTTGTGGAGAATGAATTGTGCAAAAGTCAGGAAAGACCAGGGAGGAGGCTCTTAAGTCCTATTGAGGTTGATGATGGCTTGAACTAGAGTAGAGCAATGGAAATAGGAAGAACTGAGCAGAACTAGGATGTTTGGATGTGGGGTTAATGGGTCTTGTTGACTAATTATGTGGAGTGTGAGAGGAAGAAACAAATACAACTTCTGAGATGGGAATGAGTGGAGAGGAGCAGATTTGGAGGGGAATGAAGAGTTCTGTTTCTGTGATGTGCCCTTCCTATCATCGCCATCCTCTGAGGATGAGATTCTCAATCGAGAATTGATCTCAATTCAGATTCTCTATCTGTGTTCATTATTCTCTATCTTTTCCTTACAGTTTTTTTAATCCCATTATATATATGACCCTAAATGATGGGATGGTTAATTTTCCATTTTTTTTGCAAATTTGCATAACTGGAATTGAGCTGTATGTATTATGATTAAAGTTTTACCTATTTAACATTGCTTTTTGGAAGTCATGTTGATGCAGAAGCAGGCTCAGTGAACTATCAATTGTTAATTTCATTGCCAAATAATATTTTATGAGTATGATGTAATATATCCAGTTGCCTGTCCTTAGATGTAAGTGCTTTTTTTTCCCAGGATTTTGACAGTTTCAAACAATGCTATCGTAACATTCTTGTCCTTGTCTTCTGGTGCACTTGTACATGTTCCTGCAGAGTTTCCTCTGAGAAGTGGAGTGCTGGATCCTAGGCTATGTGCATCTTCAACTCCACTAGCCAGCGATACGTTGTGCTCTTAAGTTGTTTGGGCCAGTGTATACACATTCTAGGAATGTAAGACTTCCTGTTCGTTGGCATTTTCTCCAGCATTTGGTATTTAAATCTTGCATATATATGTAAAATGGTATCTCACTGAGATTTTAGTTGAATGTGTAATTTTATTGAATGTATGCATCTTTTATCAATATTTATTTGCCACTTGTGTGTTATCTTCTGTTAAATACTTGTTCATGACTTGTCCATTTTTCTGTGGGATCGTTTACCTTCTTTAATGTTCTAAAGAATTCTTCATATTAGTTATTTGTGTTGCAAATACTTTTTTTTTTTTTTTTTTTTTACTTTTGTTGGTACTAGGGTTTGAACTCAGGGTACTTGCTGGCCAGGTGCTCTACCACTTGAGCTATGCCCCTTATTTTTTTTTTCCAATTTCTAGCATATCTTTGTGTATATTTTAAATGTCTTTTGATGAGCAAAAGCTTTTCATTACACAGGCCATCTTCTCCTATATGGATTTTTTGAATGTTCATGAAATGTTTTCCTAACTCAAGATGATAAAGTTTTTCTATTAGAAAGAATAGCTGTTTTCTTCTTAAGGGGAAAAGTTTGCTTTCATGTTTTATCTGGAGTTGAATGTTGTTCTGTGTTGTGAGGTGAGGATTCAATTTCATTCTTCCTCAGATTGATAGTCACTCTCTCAGGATCCGGTGTTGACTAGTGTAATTCTCCTCTACTCATCTCTGGACTACTTGGTGCCTTATTTACATGGGCCTGTTTCTGGCTCTATTTTCTGTTCCAGTACTCTGTTTTTCCCTAGAGTTGTTTCTTTAACAACCCTACTTTTAAAGTATAGTTGATTCCTGTTATTTGCAGCATTTTGTTAATGCAAAGTTGCCATATATCTTGGATTTGGAACAATTGCTCCTAGGGAAAATACAGGGTTAGGTTCCTGTGGCCTGTGGTCCTAATTACATTTTTGTCAAATGTTCAATATATATCTTTGTTTTATATGTGTCTCTTTTGAAAGATAATCTTTTAAAAATGATTTTGGCTTTGTTCACATTGAATTCACTACATACAATCTTATATTTGTGTCTGAACAAAGGTATCTTAAGGCATGCATTTTCTCCATGAGGTATATCACAGACAACCTTGTTTTAAGAACATTAGATACCATTTCATCTCTACTCTTAGAGGCTATTGTAAATAGTGAAATGACCAGTTGAACATAAAAATGCGAAAAACATTTCATTGAATACATGACAAAATGGACACTTGTTCTTATTATCAGAGCTGAAGCAAGAAGGCAGAATGTAACCCTGTTCTACCTTAGTTGGAAGTGTGTGTGTTGGATGACACATTTTCACCCCTCTGCAAGCATCTACAGATGACCACAAAAATGCTCCAGTATGGATTTTGAGGTTACAAATAAATAGACAGATTTGCAAATATGGAATTTGTGAAGAGTGAGACTTGGTCTATGAGATACTGGGAGAGGCAGTTTTTTAGGAAACCATTACCTTCAGCATGATCTGTCATACTTCAGTGCAACAAATTCTGGGTGTTCTATGACAGATGATATTATCCCAACAAAGAGACTTCTTTTCTGAGAATACTTTTGTTTTATTGATATTCATAGTATTGTTACTTAGTTCATAGATAAGATAGTTCATAGATAAGCTTTGAAGCAAATAATTTTAGGAAAGAATTGCAATACTTATAACGTTGAAAGCAAGTCTAAAAAATACAGAAAAGAGAAAGCAAGTGTAACATCTTAAGCCATTATTATAATTATGACTCAGGAGGGTCATATTTTCTCATGAACATTAATAATAACTGAAGGTACAAGTTTTATAAAGGCAAGCACCATTCATGAAGTGTATCCTTCAAAAAGGATACAAAGGATTCCAAGAAAGGGATAAATGAAGATTGTATACTTTGTAAATCTCCCCTAAATGTATTTGCTGATACTTGGCTATTTTACTTTTTACTTATGGTTTAAGATCCTCAAGTGAATTATTTGCATTAATTTGATAAAGGTTTAAGCTGAGTATAAACCAGAAAGTTTGGTCTTGATGTGTATTCATATTTTGTAAAAATATAGAATATGCTTTGTTCCTTTATTTTTTAAAAAATATTTAATTGTAAAATATGTGCGACATAAAATTTACTATTTTAACCATTTGTAAGTGTATAGTTCAGTGGTGTTAAGTACATACACATTGTGCAGCCATCACCACAATGCCTTCATTTTTCCAAACAGACTGTACCCATTAACACTAACTTGCCATTCCCCACCTTCTCTCCCCCAGCTCTGGCAGCCACAAAGTTGATGACTGTGTTTATCTCAGATAAGTACAGTCACAGTATTTGTTCTTTTGTGCCTAGCTTATTTTCTTTTAGCTTAATGTCTTCAAGGTTCAGATATATTATAGTATCAGAATCTCCTTCTCAGTGTCAGAATCTCCTCCTTTTTGAAGGTAAATAATACCATTGTATGAATGTATGTATGACATTTTGCTTTTCTGTTCACCCATTGCTGGACCCGTGGGTTGTTTGCAAGAATGCTTGGATGCTACTATGTACATGGGTGTGCAAGTATCTGTTCAGCTGTCTGCTTTCAGTTCTTTTGCATGTATACTCAGAAGTAGAATTGCTGGATCATATGGTAATTCTATGTTTGATTGTAGAGTATACTAATAAACCTTTTCATATTTTATAAAATATATTTGATATACACAATTACAAGTGATTAGAAAATGTATTCACAGTACATTGTCAGTTATGTTTAAAATTCCCACCCATGATAGATACAAAAAAGCATTAGGATATGGTTCTTACCCTAAGAGCGATCCAGTCTGAGGGTACAGGAAGTAAATACATTACAATTATATCACCAGTCACCATGCATGAGTTTAATAATGGTATATGGGACAAAAATGAGAAGATGGCATGCAATATGTGACTGATTAATTGCCCACTGAATATTTTAGGTAGTAGCATCCATGAGCTCAGCTCAAAGAAAACATTATTAAGGGAAGATGTATCTGAGAAAGCTTTATGTGTGAAGTACATTTTGAGTCGAGTATTGCAGGAGGTGTAAAATTCAGACAGGTGGAAAGATAAGGGTGAGATCTCCCCATGAAAGAGGAGTGGATTGTAAACGTCAGACATTTTTACAGTGCTAACTCATTAATTGGCATTGAGCAGCAGCTTAGTCCTGGGCCCCAAATGTTAGATCACATTTGTTTGACAAAATTGCTAGTAAGTCCTCCAGCAGTGTAGTCCTCTACCCTACATTCACTGGGTGATGGTGGAAGTGGTGGTGGGGTAGTAGAAGTAAGAGTAAGCTGATGTTTATAAAGTGCCTTCTTATGCTGAACGCCTTTTACAGATGTTAACCCTGTTGGCTCTTCAGCAATTCTGTGAGCAGCTAGGTATGAGGGGCTTTCCATTACCCATCCTAGCATGGGCTAGTGCAGACTTAGAGAGCTTCCGTACTTGCCTCCAGGCACACAAAAGGATGGAGCCAGGCAGCATTTACCTCCAGGTGGATCCGTGTAGATCCAGAATCAGCATTTACGACTATGGGGCAATATTGCCCTGGCACTAAACATGGGAGGAGGCTGATGTCATGTGTTTACTGTGTAAACTTACGCAGCTTCTCTGTGTGGCTGATGTTTTAACATCTGGCAAGCCCTGGTTAGTAGAGTGGTTTGTAATCTCTAGATGGTTGTGGTGATGAGTGAGTAGACTGCCTTAATATGGTGGCTTCTGTTGAGCAGAGATAATGAGGTTCTCTGTTCTGTAAACAGCTAGGTAATGACCTTAAACTTGTATGATCACAGCTGAAACAAAATGTGCATATACAGTTTCTTCTGATGAAACCTAATCCATTCAAGGAAAAGAAATATTCATTGTTGTT